GGGGTCCCCAGACACGAACAGACTAACCCACAGACATAGAACGAGCACGGCGAGGCCAGACAAACCCACCCCTCACCGGTGCGGCGGCTCAGTCTACTCGCGGCTCCGGGCGAGCTGGACTGACCTGAACTCGAGCTGGGACCACAGTCAGTGGACAGACCCCTCCCCACTGACCGGCCTCCTTGAACACGAGCTGGGGCACCACTGCCCGAAGGACACCCCCCCCCCCTTACTGACCGGCCCTCCCCAATGACCTTGAACTCGAGCTGGGGCACCACTGCCAGCAGCACGGTGGGACAGATGTGGTTCAGCTCGTAGATCAGGTCGTACACCTTCCTCGAGATGCCCAGCTTCTTCTCTCCTTGCCCAGAATCAGCACGTGGTTGAAAAACTGCAACGGCGCGCACATGCACAGGTCAGGGACAGCGCTGCGCCGAGGTCGTGTTTGATAGAGTTATACCTATCAGCAGCCGTCGAGTGCTAATTTGCAGAAGTTCCTCTGGATACAGGATGGCAATCAGAAGGCCAACAACCTAAGCATATAGGCCTGTCTGTGATCATTTTCATAATAATGTTCGCGAATATAACAAATGTTTAGCCGAAGAACTGACCGGGCCACGGGCCACTGACTGGTCTATAGGCTAGCCGCTGACCGGGGACCCGGACCGGGACCGGTCGCTGACCCGGACCGGGACCGGTCACTGACCCGGACCATGGACCGGTCACTGACCCGGACCGGGACCGGTCACTGACCCGGACCCTGCCCGGGGACCCGGACCCGAGTCCCGCTGACCGCTCACCGCCTGGATGTAGGGCTCCAGTGTGTCGCTGCACTTCATGATGAGCTCCTTGGCCAGGTGGTAGGCGTTGCGCCGTGACGACTTGGCCGGCTCCACGATGTTCATCAGGATGATGTCCATCAGCTCGTTGGAGACGACGTCTGACTCGTAGATCAGAGGGCAGAGCACGTCCAGCATGAAGCTCTTCACCTTACCAGAGTGCTCGTCACTGCGGCGGGGAGGGAGGGGAGGGGAGGGGAGGGGAGGGAGGGGGTCCGTGATGGGGGATACACTGCGCTTTAGCAGCCATATTTCACGCCGGCAACGGTCTCTGGGATTAAATTCTAAATGCCGTTTTTATATATGTTTCGTGAGGTGCATTTCTAGTGGGTCGCATGGTATATTTTCAAAGTATATGCGCATGAAACACGACAAAATCGTTGCACTATGAAGCAATATATCGACATACATTAGAAGTTATGCTTGTTGATCTGAAAGTCTTACTTGACAATTTTGAATGTAAGCGAGAAGAGGCTACAGATGATCTCGTTACTGTCCTCCAGCTCGAGGCACATGTTGAACGACTTGACGTAGGCCAGGTTCTCCAGCAGGTAAAAGTAGCGCTTGAACGCCGGGTCCTTGGGGTCCTTCAGACCGGCCAGCTGCTTTATCAGGAACATGAAGATCATCTGAAACCGAGATAACGTGTGTCAGCGACGATAAAAATGTTCAATGTATGAAAATACGTTCTGCAAACTGCAGCATTGTACGGAGAGACATGTTATTTGGAACTTTCTGGATCCTAGGGAAATTAGGGATGTCCTATCAACCTCCGTATGTACTCTCCAAGGCGGAAAGGTCAGGACGGGGTCGGAGCCGTGCCCTTGACCTGGACGGGATCATCATACGGACGTACACTGACCTTGACCTGAGGCCAGTTTTAGCAACAGAAAAATAGCCGCCTGCCAGAATTTTCCCCCTAAAGACCGCTTCACATACGGATCGTAAACGCGCTGGGCACGTAAGCGGATAAGGCTTTACCGTTTACGCTCCGTATGAAAGCGGTCTTTAGGCAGAAAATTCAGGCAGGCGGGTCTGTTAGTAAAACTGGCCTCTGGGCGGGGTCAATGTACTGATCGTGACCCGTACACTGACCTTGACCTGAGCGGGGTCCTTGTAGGGCGCCTCGGGCGCGTATACGCGGAGCACGTCGGCGATGCAGCAGGCCACCAGCAGCTGCACGTCCTTGCTGGGGTACTCGCGGAAGTAGTCGTCGGCGATGTGTTTGGCCAGCGGCAGGTACTCCTGGTAGGCGCCGTCATCCTGCACCATCGACTGGTACGTGTGCGCCAGCGTCTGTAAAATAGTGCAGGGAAGGGGTCACTACTCACTACCAACCCGTGGGCCAGCGTCTGTAACATGGGGCAGGGGAGGGTCACTACCAGCGTGTGTACACAGAGAGGGGCAGGGTCACTACCACCTGTGGGCCAGCGTGTGTAGTACGGGGAGGGAGGGGGCCGTCAGCGCCATTGTCGGCTGGCTTGGTTTTAGCTATGCCCTGGAGGCGTGGAGGGGAGCTAGGTGTTAGCTGTGCCCTGGAAGCGTGGAGGGGAGCAGGGTGTTAGCTGTGACCTGGAGGCGTGGTGGGGAGCAGGGTGTTAGCTGTGACCTGGAGGCGTGGTGGGGAGCAGGGTGTTACATAGCTGTGACCTGGAGGCGTGGTGGGGAGCAATGTGTCGGCTCTGCCCTGAATGCGTGGTGACTGGTGAGTGGTGGGGTCATGTGTTTGCTAGGTGTCAGCCTTGCCCTGGAGGCGTGGTGGGGAGCTATGTAGGTGTTAGCTGTGCCCTGGAGGCGTGGTGGGGAGCTATGTAGGTGTCAGCTGTGCCCTGGAGGCGTGGTGGGGATCCCGGCAGAAGCCCCAGGCGGGCGCCGCCAATCAATAGCGTAAGTGGCCCCAACAGAGGTGGGGGGCGGCGAATAGCCGGGGACGGCTTCCCCACGCTGCTCCCCGTGCTACGCCCGACCAGCGACGCCATACAGAGGGGATTTCCACAGCTGTCAAGACTATCGTGCATAGACGACAATCCACCAAGGTTCGCTGTTTGCTTGTTTTTCCAAACAAACATCAATAAACAAGCTGTTCACAAACAGAAGTGTTCATGATCAAGTGACGTCATCGGTCGAACTTTCGCATACAAGCAGCGAACAGTTCGCGAACACGGTAAAGAGTTTATCTTTGATCGGGGGGGGGGGGGGGTAAGACCCCTCTAGCAGCTTCGCACCCAATTGAGCTACAGCCTTCCGTAAAAATCAAGCGCGTACTCCGTTACGAGATACAGCGCCTGGTAACCGATTTTAGGGTCTCGGGTCAACTGCTGACCTCTGAGGTCGGGGCAAGTGCTCCAGGGTAAGGGTTGGGTTTTGGGTAAAATAATTTCATTTTAACCCGCGCCCTGCTGGGGGGGGGGTGTTTGAACACCCCCCCCCCTTGTGGTTTTTCGCGAATATCTCAGGGTCGCGGCACACTGATGGAAGTTTATACCGAGCTAGGCGTGCCCGAGCTCTCCCAATTCCACGCCAGCTCGGCTTAAGAGCGGCAACAGACGGCGGAGGTCATTGGTCAACGTCACCGCTGGGGCGGCGGTGGAGTTCCAGCGCCCGCCCTGGGCCCTGTTTCACCGCCCGACGCTGCGCGCGCTGCAGCACGCTGGGAGCTGAGGCATACCCCTGACGTCACTCGAATGACGTTGCGTGCGATCCGTTAGCTTATGGTAAATCGCGTTTGGAACAGAGACCTTGAAGAACCTAGTACCAATTGAACAGAAGTTTGAGTGCGAATACTGCTAGCGTGCGGATGGTGCTGGCGCCGCGGTGCTCGCGTTTTGCGATGACGTCATAGCGTAGCGTCAGAGGGAAGTTTGTTGATATTGCCATAGAAACCCAACGCGCCGACGCGCGCAGCGCACTGCAGCGCTCCGCCGTGAAACAGGGCCCTGATGTCTCGGAGATTCTCTAACGCCGCCTCACGCGATACTTAGTTTCGAAGAAAATCGGCGGGGGTGGGCGTTAACCCACGCCCTGGTGGGGGTGGGGGTGGGGTTATTTTTTGCCTCCCCCTCCAGACTTTTCGATATATCTCCAGAACCGCTGCGCCAATCGTCACCAAACTTACAGTACCTACCCTCCCGGGCATCAATTCTACACATTGTGACCAAAAATTTCCCAAAGGCTATGATAGGTTGGCCGTGAATGACGTCAGAGTGACGTCATGTTCTGCCGTTTTCGACCTGAAAAAGGTTTCGCGGGAAGAACTGTCAGGCCTACAGCTTTAAAGATACAGAAAAACGTAGCATACATAAACGGTGTAGAATTACCAGGGCTACAAAACTGCTATCTTGAAAATTTGATATTTTTGGATTTTGACCCCCAAAAAACAAAACAAAAAATTGAATGTGATGAGAAAAAAAAATCGATTTACGAGAAAACAAATGTATGTGAGTTTTCGGCTACCAAAGTTAAGATCGACACCTCTTTTTTTACCAAGTTATAGAGAAAAAAAAACTTCAAAATTGATGATGTCCAATTTTCAAACTCAATTTTTTAGCGATTCTAGACCACGAAGCGCAAAACAAAGACCATCATTAGACTCGCCGTGACGAGCTGCATCGAATCGATACCATGCATAACTTTTTTGACCTGACCTCAACCACGAAGTGACCTAAACCGTTCCTGGTGGTCTTATAACCAACACCATTGAGTTGGAAGTGAAAAATTGGCCATAAAACATGCATCGCACAGCCCTAGTAAAATTGGGTTCATGTGCTGACCCTTGGTGAACTGACCTGTGACCTGACCTGGTATTGCCACTGACCTCTAATAGCAACATATGTACTAGGCAGCTGACGCCCTATCGCTAATTTTCAATAAAATGCATTTAACTTGATGTTATAACGCATTCCCTAGAAGATCCGTGAACGGCAAAACATTTTATCTTTGACCTGACCTATGACGTCATCGGTGACCCCGAGGTCAATGAAATTAGACCTCCCTCGACAAATTTGACAGGGCTTTCGAACACCGATTCAATTTTACGGATCGGTCCAGTAGTTTCGGAGATACGGGGGGGGGCAAAAAATAGCCCCCCCCCCCCCACACCGGGCCTCGTTTCACAAAGCGAGTCCGTAACTTACGTCGGTTTTTGGGCTTGTATTGCAAGCGCATGTGAAGCGATAAATTTGTTTCGCCTTCTCCCTTCTGTTCTTGCTTGCAAGATAAAAAATTCAACGATTCAAAAATATCGTCACCGTTTCACATGCACTTGCAATACAAGACCAAAAACCGGCGTACGTTACGGACTCGCTTTGTTACAAGTCCTTTACGTTAATCACTATTTGGTTGCTGAGATCCGTGTTTGTGTTTTTCTAAATCGTTTCACTATTTTTAATAAGGTAAACAAAGTTCCATTCCAAGGTTTCTATTTCTTCTGACCTCAATTCTTATCACTCTCCCCAATCCATTGCACAAAATTCATCAATTGTTTGACCGCACGCGCAGTCATTTAAACGGCACGTCTGTAATCCGCAACATCTTCCCCCCGTGGGATGCGAATTCCACCATACTGGTGATCTAACAAGCGCTCTCCAGACGGTGCAGGCGCTGAATGGGTCGCACGACCGTCCCTTTCGTGGTTCGTACAGTTGCAGCTCGTGCTCTTCCATCTCGGCCTGGATACAGCCTTTCGATTACCCCGGTTGTCCAAAGTGCACGTGACACGCGTGGGTTGTCTTCAATGAGGACGAGATCTCTCACGTTGGGTTCTCTGACAGCTGAGGCGGTTCTCGTGGCGTTCGCAGCTCGCGGAGGTACTCTCGCTTCCAGCGGGCCCAGAGATGCTGGAGAACTCGAAGGTGATGTTCTCGCAAGGATCTCAGGTTCTGACCACTGCTCTGCGGGATAGAGACCTCATCAACAGTGTGGCACGATCTCGCGTGGAGAAAATCGTTTGGTGAGAGAGGCTGTACATCATCTGGATCATCAGTGAGCGCTGACAGCGGCCTGGCGTTGATGGCGCCTTCGATCTTACACAACACTGTATTTAGCTCCTGCCATGTGAGGAGGCTTCTTCTCAGGGTTCTACGCAAGGCTTCCTTTGTCAGGCGTATGAGTCTCTCCCAGAAGCCGCCCCACCATGGCGCCCTTGGCACGCTGAACCTCCATACTACACCTCTCGGTGCCAGTATGTTTGCTGCGCTCCGGAAGTTCAGGCCGTTGTCACTGAAGATGATTTGAGGCGTCCCACGGCGTGAGCAGAATCTCTCGAATGCTCCCATGAAATCTTCAGCTGAGAGCGTCTCTACGAGCTCCAGATGGATGGCTCGAATCACTGCACATGTGAATAGCACAATCCACATTTTTCGGGCCTCTGATCCTCTTGCAGCCTTTCTGTAGACGGGCCCAGCCATGTCAACGCCCACAGCGGAGAACGGAGGTCTTTGGCGCACTCTTTCCTTTGGCAGTGGAGCTATTTCTTGAGTGAAGGGTTCTGTATTGAACAGCTTGCAGTTTGGGCAGTCTCGAATTGTTCTTCCAACTACTTGTCGTCCGCGAGGGATCCAGAAGCGCTTTCTTAGCTGGTGCAGCGTTTGCTGCACTCCTCCATGACTGGTTTGTTGGTGATGGTCGAGAATAAGTAGCCGTACGTACGCGTGTCCACCAGGAAGAATTATCGGATGCTTTTCGTCACAGCTGAGTTCCGATTCCTGCAGCCTGCCCCTGACCTTTAGGAGACCATCCTCCTCAAAAGGGTTTAAGCCGTGTATCGGCGACTGTTTCATGATCTCGCTTCCTGAACGCAGTTGCTGGAGCTCATCCGGGTAGGCGTCCTGTTGTAGTTCTCTAAGCCAAATTCTTTCGGCTTCGTGAATCTCCTCAGCCACTAGATGTTCCGCTCCCGTGACTCTTCCTCTGGTCACAGCGATCCATCTCAACACCCAGGCAGTGACTCGGAGCAGTTTTTTCAAGGAGCTGTAGCGGCTGATGTCAATTGCGTTTGTAGCTGCGATTCTGTCTGCAGTGTTGCTTGTGTTTGAGATCAAAACTGGCGTGTTCATTGTCTTCTTTTCTTCTTCTCTGCACGCTGCTGGTTCACCAGTTGGCTGTTGTGCCGGCCACTCAGGCGGGGGCAACCGCAGCCATGCCGGGCCCTGTTGCCACAGATCTCCCTGCATCTTCCTAGCAGAGGCCCCTCTTGACGGCAGGTCGGCGGGATTGCTGCATCCAGGACAGTGTCGCCAGTGTTCCGGAGCGAATCTCTGCTGGATTTCGGTGACACGGTTGGATACAAACGCTCCCCA